GGCACCTAAGGCACATCACTGAAGGAGACACTCTCAAGGTCATGGAAGTACAGGGTGAGCGTTTATTCCACCCTGAGAACCAAGTGTCTCCTGAAATTTTATACCTGAGGTGCCTCGCTCACCTCACTGTAGTCCAATTTCTGGTTCTGGAGCCAGACTACCATTTTTGAAGCAAAGACCCACTGCTTTCTAGAGTGCAATCTTAGGCAAGTTATTTAATCCCTTTGAGTCTGTTTCCTGATCTCTAAAATGGGGATAATCACAAAATATATCATAAAAGTGTTTCAGAGATTAAACACAATAGTACACATAGAACAGCTAAAACAGTTTCTGGCACATAGTTAAGGATAATTAATGTTGGCTGTCTTTATTTTTATTTGTATTATATTCGAACATTTAGAGGCACAGAACAATGTCTGACCCATGGTTGAAACTGAATCAATATTGATTCAGTGAATTAATGAACGAATAGAGACAGGTGGATGGATGGACAAAATATTAATTCTGAGTTCAGTGTCCCTGAATTTCCCCTCTGCCATTCAGAAAAATACAGACAAAATAAAGGAAACAATCACTAACAAGTTTATAATTTTTTAAATGAAGGAAACTATTTAAAACCACCTCTGCTGCTCATGACTGGGTTTCGGGATAAGACTGGGTTGGCTGCAGAAAGGTGCCTTCTCTCAGATATTGGGTCGTCAGGAAAATCATGACGCATTTTTGCATTGAAAAACATAGAAAAATATGTCGTGACTTTCCTGATGACCCAATATTTATTCATTTTCTGAGTAAAGAAAGCACAGCTTGGGCCGGTCGAGTGGCTCAGTTGGTTAAGAGCTCGCTCAAGAGTGCCAGCTCTGAGCAACAGCGTTTGATTCCCAGCCTGAGCTGAGCTGTGGCTGAGCTGCCAACAGGTGGCAGGATGGCTCAGCTAAAAATAAATAAATAAATAAATAAATAAAAGCACAACTTGCAGTTTGAATTTTTCCCATGTTTTTCTCTATGGTTATTTTTACACAAATAACAACCCTCTCCACACTCTCCTTATGGAAACATGCATTTATTTTTTTGTTTGTTAGTTTTGTTCTTGGTTGTTGTGGTTTTTAAGTGTTCCAGTGTCACTTAGCTGTGTTAAAAAAGGTAACTTGAAAATACAGTGCTATATAAATGTGACAGGCAAGAAATGACATGCTGACAATTTGAGAACATGCGATACAGCCCTGCCTCTTTTCTTCTCTCTCCCTCTCTTTGATCAGAAAATGTTCTTTGTGTGAATCAGGCTCGGGGCCAAGAGTCTTAGTGAGATCAGCAAGAAGGTGACAACAGGAGACAGAACTATTCTTACTCAAATAATTTACTGAGTTTCTTTCTCAGGAACTATAACAAGGGTGGTTTCGTTTTCTTGGTTCTAATGACTTCATATCTATGCCAAAAGAAAAAGAACAGGTGACAAGTCTAGTGCTCTCCATCCATAAAGCTTCTGACAAATAAGAGATACAATAGCTGGACTGACTCCAAAAGCTAAAGTCCAAAACAAGACTAGCTGGGATTTGAGTCACTGTGCCCAGAAGATCTATAAGGAAGACTTGGGAGATAAATTTGTTCCGGCATGAATGTGTCAGGGTGGTGTGGAGAAGGGCTCGCAGAATGACCATGCAATCATACAGTATAATTAACGCTTATTACCAGCTTACAGTTTGCCAAGCACCATCATTGGGGTGTATCTTGGTTTATCTCATTTAACCCTTACAACAAATAAATGTTATAGAAAGCAGAGGCAGAGAGATTAAGTAGCTTTTCCAAGGCCACATAGCTAGAAATTATTACTTCAGAGACAGAAGACTCCAAAATTAAAATTGTTAGCTTGGAATATTAACCAAAAATAAATAAAATGATAAAGACAGGCTCCAAATAGTTCTTTATGCTTTGGAAAAGCAAGAAATCTCATAAAATATAATTGAATTGTGAAAAATATAAAGTCTTTAGGTTAAAGAAATAACAGAAGCACACAATATGTATTACTGATACATATAAATTATGTATAGTATATAATAGAATATTATGTAATATGTGATAGAATGTTACTTTTATATATTATATAGAAAATATATCACTATAATATGTAAAAATTGTAATATATTGATATAAATATTTTACAATATTTATGTCATAGTTAAGTATTTTATAATATATTTACATACAAATATTTATACTATTGGGTTGTCGGAAAAGTCATGACTCATTTTTGCAACAAAAAACATAGAAAAAATATGTCATGACTTTTCCGACAACCCAATATGTAATATATAACATTAATTTTATATAGTATGTAGAATATAATTTAAAAGGATGTATAAATTATTTCAAATAAATATGTTATAATAAATAAAACATATTATGAAAGAACATATATATACATATATAATGGAAACACATAGGATGGGAGAGATTTTTGTCAACAACTGATTCGCTGCATCTCATATAAAATACACTTGAGAGAATGGCTTCTGGGAAAGATCAGTTGTTATCAAGGAGATGATATGCCCCCGGAAAAATAGCTGCCCTTTTGGCTACACTAATAGAAATAGAGTAGCCCCCAAAAAGGGGTATGAGAAGTGTTCTAGGCTGACAGGTCATGAGATTCTGTTTGATGTGATGTGTCTACTTGAGATTCCAGTGCTTTAAGGATGAACAGAAGCTTGGCTCTCTTACCACCCTCCCTGCTCTTTTCTATGCTACATTCCACCTTCTTCTCTTCCTCTTAGCTTATTGAGAGTTGAATCTCCAATGAGTTTAGTCAAAAGGGACTGTTCTCTGAAAGAGGGTGGATGAAGAGTGTGTGGTGTGTGTGTGTGTGTTGGGGCGGGGTGGGGGGGTGCCCCGAGCAGCCCTGAGGTTGCAGGAGGGTTTGGGAGAAGCATCCAGGGATCACCTTTCTGTGTGAGCGGCAGATGGTGGGAAACATGGCAAGAAGGGCGTGGAGAAGGCTCCCATCTTCAGGAAGGATTTCAGATTTCCAAATGCACTGGTAGGATCCAAGATTCTGTCATGACCCTGGCTTGGAGACCAAGGCTTCTAGCCAAACCGCAAGGAACGATAGAGACAACCAGTAGAGAAACCCATCCATTTCCTGAGAAAGGGCTTTGAGCTGAATCTTGAAAAACAATACTTTAAAATTTTTGGCCTTGAAACTTCAGAAGAAGCATGAAGAAACAGAGTAGAGATGTCATTAATAGAGGCCTTGAAGCAAACCTCACAACTACGAGATACACTTTATAGTGCGGACAAATTTTAACACAGAACAGGAAATCTGGAAAAAGCTCTGAATGACTTAAAAAGGTTTATGAATTCTCACCAAAAACAACCTGCTTTGCCAGATCTTAAACTATTCTGGGAAAAAAATGAAACAACTTTAAAATGCAAATACATACGAATCAAACGGGAAGAACAAATCATACAGACTTTAAGGAAGTGTGCTATACATTTTTTTTAAGAACATGTCTTTATTTCTTCTTCCAGTTTTTTTGAGATATAATTGATAAACAACATTTTAAGGTGTACAGCATAATGATTGACATACATATATATCGTGAAATGATTACCACAATAAGGTTAGTTGACATCCATCACCTCATACAATTACAAACAACAAAAAAATCGTTTTCTCTTGTGATGAGGATTTTTAGGACCCATTATCTTAGCAAATTTCAAATATACCATACAGCATTGTTAACTACAGTCATCACGTTGTACATTATACCCCTAGTACTGTAATCAAATTCAAGGGGCTCGTTCTGCCTGCATGCATCAAAGCCAATGGAGACACAAACAGGAGTTTGCAGCAAAGAAAGTAGAGGTCTATTTAAGAAAATGGCACCAAGCCCAGAGACACAGGTGAGCTAGTGCTCTTAAGACCTGACTCCCCAGTCGCATGGAGGTTACAGATTAGGGCAAAATCACAAAACATTGTGGACTAGGAGTTTGGGGTTCTGTTGGGAGCTGATTGGTTGGAGGTGAGGTAAGAGTAGTGAATCATTTATTCAGGTTTGAGGACAGTTTAAGGGTCTTTTCCGGAGTTCCTCTGTCGGGTCTCTTTGGAAAGTAACCAGAGATTCCACCTTAGGACTCAGGAACTGAAACCTAATTTAGATCAAGATATCATCTTTAGCCTGCTAAAGGTCTGGCCCGGTGAGACCATTAGTCAGATCTAGGCTACTGTTTTCTGTTGCCTCAGGGGTTGCTGATTATCTGGAGGAAAGGCTAGGTCTCTGAAGGGTATAGAAAGCGAGAGAGGGATATGATTTCTAAAGCTAGGATTTAAAACTAAATGTAATCAAAGTCATAAGGATCCTCGCTTTCAGTTTTGTTTGTTTGTTTGTTTTTTGGTTTCAGGTGTACAGAGCAATGCAATAGTTATCCTTTTCACCCCTCACAAAGTAACAACCCCCCTCCCCCCATCCACCGCCCACCCCCTGATATCATACTTATCTGTTACAATTCCATTGACTCCATTCCCACTCTCTACGCCACATCCTGTGACTATTTCAGTACTTCTTTACTTTATAACTTGGAAGTTTGTACTTACAACCACCTTCACCCAGTTCCCCGGCACCTCTACCTCTGGCAAGCACAAATCTGATCTCTTTTTCTACGTGTTTGGGGTTATTTTAGATTCCGCATATAAATGAGATCATACAGTATTTGCCTCTTTCTGTCTGACATTTCGCTTCACATAACACCCTCAAGTTCCACCCACCTTGTCACAAATGGCAGCGTTTCCTTTTTTATAGCTGAATAACATTCCATTGTGTACTATATGTACTACATTATCTTTATTGTGTATTCAATTCATTAATGGACATGTCTTGGCTATTGTAAATACTGCAATGAACATGGGAGTTCAGATAGCTCTTCAACATAATGATTTCCTTTCTTTTGGATGTACACCCAGAAGTGGAATGGCTGGCTCATCCAGTAGTTTAATTTTTAACTTTTTGAGGAAACTCCATATTGTTTTCCATAATGGCTATACCAATTTACATTGCCACCAACAGGGATAAGTGAACCCATGTAGTTTAGATCCAGAGAGTCCTTGTTCTTACACCCCACAGCTAAACAAGCGAGGCTCTAGTCGGTCAGACCTGGACTTGCCTCCTTGGGCATGTCCAAATCTTCTCTTATTCCTATGGTAAATGGCCATCTCTTACATGGGAGTCAAATGGGATAAATTAGGCAAGTCCTATAAACACCTGAGCAAAGATTCTCAGTCCATATTAGCTAGTGGTGTTACTGGTGACAGCTGCACTTCTGAAGCCACACAAGTCCAGCGGTCATTTAGATATCTAGTTCTCAATCTGCTGCATTTCTGGCCCTCCCACTGGTAAATTTCCTTCTACCTTGAGCTTCCTGACACTGCCTTCCTCTGAAAACATTTCATTCCAGTTGAGTCCCTAACCAGAACGATCAAAACTCTTCTTGCTACAGTCTCCTTTCCCCCCAGCAGGAAACCATGGTAGCTGAAAGGTAGCTGTGTTTGCCAGGATAAATTTCCATGCCATGTTTTGCAAATACTCTTTAAGGCACCCTGTGCTTCTTGTCCTCAGGAACCTGCAGACAACTCAGGCAGATTCTGAGCCACAATCAGTCTTTGCCAGACACTGCAGGACAGCTGGGCAGCACTCTGCTGAGGACCATGAGTTAAAGGCTTTCTTTTCTTGTATTGATCCCTTGAAATTGTGCCTAGTGTCTTTGCAAATTTCAAGACAGGCTTTTCTTAAGTGCTAAATTGCAGCGTCTGCTTAAATATTTAAGAAACCTTAATCTAGATAACAATTGTTTCAGGCATTTTATATTCTGTAGCATTTCCAGACTCACACAGCCTCTCCCTAATGGAAGTTTTTAGAAGTCCTATCCAGGAAGTGAGCAGAGGCTGGAGCAGGAAGGAAGGGGTGCAGGAGGCTCTGGGGATGATGAGGGGCAAGTTTATTTTTTTGTGGCAGGCAAATTTTCATCAGTTAAGGAGGCAAACCAGGCAGAAATGTTTTTACAGGCTTTTATTTTTCTGTTTTTCATTTGAAAGGAAAAGTCAGGAGCTTGGGTTATTTAATTATAATTTTTAAAGGAAGTTTACATCTTTATCAGAGCTTGGTATTGGCTGTCCTAGTAAAGGATGGGCTGGATTTAACCAGTTCTTCCCCCAAGAACCACAGTCAGGCACTAAACCAAAATCCACATCTTCAAGGTCCCATAGAGCCTCCATAGAAGCTGGGCTGCATCAGTCCCAGTGCTGATTTTCTGTTTCGTTTTTAATCCTCAGAGATCTTTAAGCAAACAAACACACAACAACAAAACTTAAAATTATGAAGGACTTTTTTCAGGATGAAAATACTATAGGCATACTTAAAAAACTTTGGTAAATACTAGCTACTATAAGGGGAAAATTCATATCATCTGTTATGTAACCAACCAGAAATAAAATTCAACATTTGATATAATATATATGTACTTTATAAAACAGATTTTGGGGGAAATTTTTTTTAAAGTCGAGGTTATATATTACATATAGTTGCATCTTATCTTTTCATTTAACATTGCATCGTGAGAACTTTCCCATGTTATTAAAACTTTTCAATATTATGAGTATTGAAGGCTTCATAATTATGTTGCAAAGTATGGATGCATCATGATTTTTTTTATCTTCTTGTTTTCCTTTCTTCTTTCCTCCCTCATTTTCTCTTTCCTTCTTTCCTTTGCTCCTTCCCTGCTCCCTCCCTTCCTCTCTTCCTCCTTTGCTTCCCTTCTGATTCTTCTTTTATATTTTAATCAAATTTATACATTTACACATTTAAATAGTCAACATGATCTACAAGGCAGGAGAAACAGCAGCTTCCCACCACTACCCTACCTTATCACCCACTCCCCAGAGGTAAGATTTATCATTGTTAGTGACTAGTATACTATCTATTGCCATATACTTAAATAATATGCTTATATTGGAAATTCTTGAGCTTTTAAAAAATTTAGGCATTATCTATTGACTTTCTACTATAGAACTCCCTTCCCCAACACACACACACACACACACACACACACACACACACACACACACACACACACATTTTCTCTCCCATATCTTCCCATCCCAATATCATTTGTAACTTTGGTTAGATTAATATTCAGAATTTAAATAGCACATAAATGCTAATCACAACTGAGCCATGTCTTGTTCTATGATGACCTGTCTGTCTTTTCCTGTAATTTGTCTCATTTTCTCTGAAGTTAAAGGAAACAAACAAACAAAAATGTGGTTCTGTCCTTTGTATCTTTTCTTAGGTTTCTAAGTACTTACCTCTATCTCATCCTCAGATTCTTCTCTAGTTGAATAAATCTCCACTCCATTTTTTAGATATTAGGTAAGCTGTCATTTGCACATGTGATTTCTGTGGAAATCACTCAGGACATTTTACCTACTGCTGTGTGCACTGATTGCTCTCCAAGCCTGTTGTAAAGTAGCAAATATTTCCCTTCCCCTCACCCAGAGTATTTTCCTTTCACCTTCGTCTTGGTAGAGACCTTCTCTTGCACCGGATCCCATGTTTCCTAAATTGCATTTCTTTATTTACCTGGGTTTACGGCAACTTTTGATGGGAAGTCTCCTCTCAGCTTCCTGAGGAACAAACAGTGCACATAAAGTAATTAAAAAAAAACTTTATTGGGGAACAACCATGGTCATTGGTTACACATTGCTTGCATGCTACAGTGGCATAGTTGATTCTTTTTTTAGGGAGGGTCAGCTCACAGTGGCCCATGAGGGGATTGAACCGGCAACCTTGGTGTTATCTGCACCACGCTCTAACCAACTAAGCTAACCAGTCACCCTTAAAGTAAATTTTTTACTTACATGTATAAAAGTGTCTTTTGGGGGGCCAGCCGAGTGGCTTAGTTGCTTAAGAGCTTGCTCAAGAGTTTGAGCTCTGAGCAACAGCAGTTCGAGTCCCGGCCCAAGCTGAGCAGCCGCTGAGCTGCCAACAGGTAGCAGGATGGCTCAGCTAAAAGAAAAAAAAAATGTGTCTTTATTCTTTCCTCCCACTTAAGTAACTATTTGGCTATATTTAGAATTCTAAGTTAGANAACGTCTTCCACAACTAGACTGAAGAACAAAACAACAGCAACTTGTCTGTTCCCCTTCCCCCGATTCCCCAGCATTGTTCCCCTCCCCCAATTCCCCAATAAAAAATCTTTAAAAAAAAAAAAAAGATAAAAACCCCTTTGCTCTTCTCGCTTAGCCCCTCTACCCACTCTGTGAAGGTAGCTTCTCTTATAATGCCTTTGGTGGATGACTCAAGGCTTCCCACATTTGCTTCCAACTTTTCTCTCTAGCTCTGAACAATTATACATGCCATGGAAGTTCGGCCTAATGAAATGCTCACCAGTCCCCAAACAAAACCTTCATTGTTCTGGTATTACTATGTAAAATCTTTGGAAGTCTCCAGCATTGCTACCACCCCAGAACATTCCAGCATCCTTCAATGAGCATCCAAGAGCTGCCTCTGCAGCAAAGTCTTCTAACTATTCATGCCTTGTAGAATGTTATGTGATAACATTTTCATTTAAATCCTCACAGCATCTCACACCTTAAAATCAACCCTAGTGGGTGTTTTGCATCTGAGACTTCTTATATGGTTAGTGCTTTTTGTTTCCTGTTTAAGAAACCATGATCACCCCAACTTACCCATGCATCAATAAACACTTCAAGAAAACAGAGCTGATCACTAACATTTTTGACACCCAGGAAAGAGATCCTGCTAAGAAAAATTATTGTAAAATGGGATGCTGCAAGGAGCCTGCTAAGAAGAGGAGGGAGCTATGATTGGCAGGCCTTTATTAATAAATTAGTCAAAAGATTTAGCCATTGTATAGACAGAGATGGCACATTTGGTGTATTCAATGAGATATTCCTGAGCTGTAGGTCATTTGTAGTAAGAACGTGAATTTTAAGCAAAAGAAGACAGAGTGAATAACAAAAGGGCCACTTCCTCATGATGATTTGTGAACATGAAGAATTTATTGGGCCACAGAGCAAGGATATTAAAAAGCAGTCACAGAGGTGTAAAGTACAGTGTAGGGAATATAGTCAGTAATATTCTAGCGGCTGTATGGTGTCAGATAGGTACTAGACTTATGGGGTGATCACTTCATAAGTTATATCAATGTCTAATCACCATGTTGTACACCTGAAACTAATATAATAAATATTGAATGTCAACTGTAATTGAAAGATTTAAAAATTATATATAAAAAGAAACCTACAGCTCATAGGCTTAATACGGTCTGCTACCTGCTTTGGTAGAAACGTTTTATTGGAACATGTATTGTCTTTGACTGCTTTTGCACTAAAATAGCAGAGTTGAGTAGTTGACACAGAGACAATGCTGAAATGGTTCCCATCTGGCCCTTAGGAAAAGTTTGCAGCCCCTGCTAGAGAATAACATTATAGCCAAGATTCATATTCCTGGGATTTTTGGGACTCACCAGACGGTAGGAACTGCTGGAGATGGTATGCCAGGGACCCCCGGACATAAATGCAGATGACTACTGGGGGATTTTTTGGTTAATTGAAATGTTTCAGTGTTGCCTGTGAGGTAAAATTTAATTAAACAATGATAAGCATCTAGAATAGAGCAAAGGATTGTCTCTGGTCTTGTATTCTGCGATAAGAATATTTGCACACTTGTTGCTATCTATTGTCTCTGTTACAGAAGAGAGAAAATCCACCTCTTAGTACCCAAATGAGAATGGAAAATACATATCTATACCTATATCTATATCTAATATCTATATCTATATCATCATCACCGCCGGTCATTTGGGGATAATTAGAGAAAGAAACATGACCTTGAGAGAGAGGACTAAGGGTAAGATATGTCCATGGTGCCAGATTCTAGGCAGCCTTTTGTGTTGGCCCCTCCTAAAAGGAGGGGTGCTCAAGTCTTTGCTCCGCTTGCTACTGAAAGCAGCGCAAAGTTAAAGCAAGTGGCCTCTGCGTCGGACAGCTCAGAAACGAGGTGGATCATGTCATTATAGATTAGGAAATAAAGGGATTTTTTTAAAAAAGCATTTTTGAACTTACATCTGTCCCCTAGCACCCTAGATCTTGTACTCATTGACTCAAAAAAGCAATATCCTTTATTGCTATTGAAATCTAGCAAGTTAAAGCTATTTCCTCTCATCCTTGGACTGTGATAAGGGACTANTTTTATTATGAAATACACATTTTTTAGAATTAGTTTCAGCTGTACAACACAGTGCAATAGTTATACTTTTTACCCCTCGAAGTGACAACCCCCCTCCCCTAATCCGCCGCCCCATTTCCCCCCGATATCATACATATCTATTACAATTCCCTTGACTCCACTCCCACACTATACTCCATGTCCCATGACTATATATGTATATATATTCAATTATAGTTGACATACAATATTATACAACATCAGCTTCAGGTGTACAGTGCAGTGATCAAGCCTCTTCCCCATTCATGACGCAAGACATGTGACCACCTGACACCCTACAAAATATTCACAACATGGCAGTTCTGTTTTTAATTCTCTGAGCAAACTCCACATTATTTTCCACAGTGGTTGTACCGACTTATATTCCCACCAACAATGCACCAAGGTTCCCTTTTCTCAACATCCACACTGGCATTTATCTCTTGTCTTTTTTGTAACAGTCACTTTAAGAGGTGTGTGGTGATATGTTATTATGATATTTGATTCACATTTCCCTGAAGAACACAGAGGGCCAACAGTTGGCCATCTGTCTTCTTTGCTTTGTTTTTGCTATTGAGTAGCATGAATTTCTTTCAGCTTTTGGATATTAACCCCTTATCAGATATGTGATTTGTATATATTTTCTCTCATTCCATAAGCTGTCTTTTCATTTTGTTGATTGTTTCTTCTGCTGTGCAGAAGCTTTTTAGTTTGATGCAGTGTCACTTGTTAATTTTTACTTGTTTTGCTTCTGTTTTTGGTGTCAAATCCTAAAAGTCATTGCCAAGACAGATATGTCAAGGAGCTTCTTTTGTTAAGGGCAATTTTAACAGAGTGGAGGGAGCTAACAAGCTGTCCCACTAGAGGGCGTGCTTGACCTACTCATCAGCCCCTCCCAAGCGGGTCTGAGGTGGCGGGACTATAAGGCCTTCTACATCCTGTGTAGAAGTGAATGCTTTCAAACAACAAAAATACCATTTTTCTTTTGTGTTTCTTATTTGTAAAAGAATACACAGAAAATTGAGAAAACGTTGAAACGTATGAAGAAAAATAACAAAAATTTCGCACAGTCTCAGAATACTGGAGTTCTTTTAGCAATTTTGTGTGGAATAAGTTGAATTTTCTTTTTTTTAATTAAAGTAACAGCTAGCATCAGAATCCCTCTTTGGGGGTGAGGATTTTTGTTTTGATTTGGTTTTTTTCATATTCATTTTCACTTATTTTCCTCACTCTCTCTTTTCAGACAAATGTAAACTGACACATTTTCTGGATTCAGTGTAAAAGAACATCTGGTCCCTCGGTATAGAAACCAGAGAGATGCTGTCAGGGGCTGGGTGTCCTTTGATGACAGAGATTCAGGACATCTCATGTTTCATCTTCTTAACACAGTGTCAATCAAGCATGCTGTACAAGTTCAGTACATGTTTTCAATAAACATCAGATTTTGAGTCAATAGGTAGACAGACACAAAGTAATTAATCTTGAACTCTCCCACCCCACCCTCACCAGGTGAAGCAGCATTCTAAGCAGACAGTTAAATCTGCTTGCTCCCCACACAGCCTAGCTGAGCCCTGAGGAAGGTAAGCATTCATGATTCCTGCATTCAGGTAACTGGACTTCCATAGATTCTTTTCGTGTATAACACCCAATGAGTTTTTCCAAGAGTATTTTGTATTGCCCATTGTTTTGTTTCCTGAAGCTGAAAGTGAGTGTGGGGAGGGGTGGAGGAGATGGGGGAAGGAGGGGACAAGCTGAGGTTTCCATTAGTGTGCCTTGATACACTATTAGTATTTTGACTTTAGCTAGGTAGACACTTTAAAGAGTGCATTTAATTCTGAAAGAACTCTAGAGGAAAAAATGTAATGACAAAAACTTATGTCTTGCTATTTTGGATTCTAATGGTTGAAAGGACACCTACGCACACAATTTCATCCAGTCCACAATTTTGTAAACTTTATTGTTTCTAACAGTTCTGATACCTGAAGAACTGAGCTGTTAACTGAAAAATAGGCTCTCTTTTATTGGCGGCTGAGAAGGAGAGCTACCTTGCAGAACCAACATATCCTCTTTGGAGGAAATAAGTTTGTTTCCTTTGCTCTTTTTGCCAGTAGCTTCTATTAAGAAAACGTGAGTCCTACTGCTTATGTCAGAGCAGATCTCTTTCAGTGGCAAGTAGAATAAATGGAGTGGCCACTGGGCAACACGATTCCTTTTTCTCTTCCTAGACCACTAGCTGAAGATAATGCAATACATAGAGTAAACTCAGAGAAAAATACAGGTGCTTTCAGACAGTTCATTCAATTCAAGTTGGCTTTTTCCAAATAGCTTTTTTCTCTCTCTTTCACCTTCCCAGTGTAACAGAATTTCAGTAATTTAAGATATGCAAGACCAAATCAACTGCATGTCTAGTATACTCCTCACAAAATAAAAATGGTAACTAATGTTAAGAGTAGAGAAATAAATGATGTCTTCAACAAGGACACATGTGCTTCAGCTGCATCAATTCTTAGAATCTTGTCACGAGAAGGACTCATGGAGGTCACATATCCAAACACCTGGGGAATGTACGCCATTACTCCTTCCAGAGACAATGGCAGACATCACTAATTAATTGCATTTTCCTCACTGTGTAGACATGACTTCAGAATCCTTCCCATCAAACCATTCCAGTCCTTCGTTATCAATTTATGGGCATTGAAAGATGAAACTCAAGATAAAAACC